GAGGTGATGGATGTGTTAGTTAATTTGATTGTAGTAATCATTTCACAGTGTATACATATATCAAATTATCCCACTGTACACTTTAAATATATATAATTTTATTTGTCAAAATAAAATAAAATGAATATTCAATGAAAAAAGAAAGAATATCATGGGTTAAGGATAGAGCTAAATAATTCTATGCTCTCCCTACAGAAGGGCTGTCTATTCAGTGGTGGGATTTACAAGTTCACACCAGCCTGCCTCCTCACCTGCTTTCAAGTATTTCTCCCTAATAGGAGCTTAGAAGAGAGGAAAGATTAAACTCACAGATACAGTGATAGATCTAGCCTTAGAGGATATCAACTCAAAGAATTTTAAAATCAGTTATTTTTAATTAAAACTATCATTGTTATTAGCAATGACTGCAGAATTGCAACAATGGCAGACAGTCAAATTCATTTGTGAGCTCTAAATTTTCAGTCCATTCTCTTCTATTAATAGAAACAACTAATTCTTTTTGCACTCAATATTTTAATTCATCTCTTTGAATAGCATTTTAGCTCTACAGTGGCCATCAGTAAACGTAACTAGTGAGCCATCTGAAATATTGAAATAGCCCTTAGGTGCCCGTACCAGTAGCTGCTGCTCCATTTTCCTGCAGGAGTCTCAGTATCGAAATAGTCACATTTAGCATGATTTCAGAAAATGTGGAAAAAGTGTGGTTGAATGGCAGCCAGTCTAAGTCTTCCAGGGATGTGACAGAGCTGGAAACAAAACAGAAGCATTTCGATATGAGTTTGTCGTTAGCAAACCAAGTTTCCAGATTTACAGGGCCACAATGTGGCCAGACCACTTGCATACCAGCATTAATCATGGCTTTACCACAACCCTAACTCCGTGGACTAAGGGCTCAGCTTAAGAGTCAGGGCCTTTCTTATGTCACTGGGGCAATGACAAGTCCAGTCACAGCCCAAGTGCTCCAGTCTCAGAGAAGCAAAGAAGCAGTCAGCCTGGGGGCTCTGCATTCAGTTTCCTATTTGGACGCAGCCCTCCGGATGCCCCGCACTGCAGTCCTCCACTTGCCTTCGCCCATGGATCTGAGTATGTCCGTGCTTGTCAAACTGGTTCCCAGCACAAGGGCCTCTGGGAGCGCACATGTATACAGTGCTGATTTTGTCCTTTAAATATCAATAGTTTATTTTATAAATAATTACACCTCAACTTGTAAATTAGAAAATCCATTCAACTAAAGCGAGAATGTATCTAAACGTGAGTGACAGGAGACCAACAATACATAAGTTGTGCTTCAAACAGGTTCTTTTCCTGTAACTTCTCATAAAGGAAAATCTCTCCTGGCACCCTTGCACATCAGAAAGTATCCCAAATCTATAAGATATACCAGTAGAAAACTGGCCCCACATGCAAATACTGATCTCAAGGACTGCAGATTTTCTGAATTTTGTGTCACTGCAGCAAATATAGAAGTAAACCTGGTGCTGGAGCTCATAGGGTTCAATAGCCATCATCAGCAACTCCTGATTCCAAACACTGGTCTCTCTCCATAGAGCCCAGCACAACCGCTGCCCACTGCTAACATGTTCAGGGCTTGGAGCAAGAATAAGAAGGGAAGTGCCCCACTGTGCTCAAACATTTACCTGGTAAGTCAAACCAGTAAACTGTCTAAATATGTTCCATTCTCCTATATTGACAAATACCACTTGGAAAGCCACGTTCAAACTTAGAATTTTCCCATTGTCAGAATGTGCACCAGAATGGGGGTTTGAGGAACACCCACCCCAGCACCACTTGCCCCCTGGCTCCATCAACACCTAAAGGGGCCTTGTGTGCACATATGTGAACACTCAGGCCTGCACATCCAAGCACCATCCACAGCCTCCACCCCACACTCCTGCCATCGGCTGCAGCCGGACCACCTGGGGCCTCAGGGGCACGCTCCAGGGAGGAGGGCTGCCCTCAGAGGGCAGTCAGCCCAGAAGGGGGCTCTGGCCATTGGAGCAGGGGCTCTATCATCAGGGGCTTTCTGAGCATATCTGTCGGTCCCAGGGGCTTCCTCAGTTACCGGCAGAGGCCTGGGCTGCAGAGGGCTCCCCTTTAAGGCAGGGACCCCCCACCCCTAGTTCTGGCCTTGCCCTTGTGCTGATTGTTCTTACTGATGGCAGATAAAATAAGTCACAGTTAAAAATCTGAAAAGACTATAAACTTCCACTAATACACTACCATAATAATACAATAGGTTTAAGAAAATTTGATTGAACAACAAAAAAAGACAGTGCTGTTCAAACAAGGGAAACCCATCCGGGGAAGGGGCCCTCTCAAAGGGAACCCCGGTGTAACAGGGGGGTCAGAGCCATCAGAGGAGACCAGTGTTCAGCCCCTCAGAGAACTGAGCTTTTCGTTTCCAGATGCTATTTTGGGCAATTCAGCATAACTCATTAAGAAATCAGTTGACATTATTATATGCATGTCACATCTCCAATAGTGATAAAACTTAGAAACAACCAGAATTTCAATTATAAATTATCAAGAAAATTGTGGTATATGATACGTTTCCAAAACAGAATATTATGAGGCCATTAAAATGCTCATTTGAAGACTGCTGGAACATATGAAACAATAACGATGTAATGCTAAATTATTTAAATGAGGGAGAACATGCTCTGAACAACATCACTGCACTTATGTAAAATAATTACAGCCAGGCGAGGGACAGGCGTGAGCTGTAAGAGCTCCCCAGCCATCTCAGGGTGACATCATTCTGGAGTTCTTTCTCTTCTCGAACAATTGTACTCAGAGATAGAGATTTTCCTATTGAAAAATGAAGAGGAAACCCCAACACACCCACAGTTAGTCATAGTTTTCTTCTTAACTTACTTCAAAACTGCCTGGAGGAGATGCACTGCCCCGCGGATACCGTCCTCAGCGCCAACACTGTCTGCATGCAGTCCCGACAGGAAAAACAGAAAATCCCAGATGTGGGGCTGCCGGTGCAGGCTTTCCAACTTCGATATCAGCTCCTCCGTCTGATTGAGATCCACCTGAGAGGAAACAGCACCAGTTTCCTTCTTAAGTCTTGTTAATTAGTTAAATGACATGGGTGTGGGGGGCTGCTGATGCCAAAGAGTAAGAATGCAGAAAGTCTGTTGCTGGGGACTCATGCCTGATATTCTGAAAGGACAGATTTAAAAATTGTCCTGTCAGGTTGGTTTTTTAAATGTTGTGAAAGTATGGAGGAAAAGAGGGATACAGGTCTGTTTTTGTAAAAGGCTATACCAATGTCTAAGACTTTGAGAAATCTTGGAAATAAATGATGAGTTGTTCAACTATGAACAGAAGTGGAATACTACGGTTATTTGGGGTTTTTCTGTTATTGCAACTGAGCCCAATCACAATGGATACAAGGTGGTAATAACTGAGAACCGTGCCTCTGCACACAAACCCCTGACTCCATCCACACTCACTCAAAGAGCTGGTTTTCAGGGCACAACCAATAGAAGCTCAGTCTAGAAGAATGTAAGTAAAAATTTATGAGGAAAAGAATGTTCTGACAGCACAGTCATGGAATAAGAAACTAGAGACCAGATTTCTTTTCCTTGGAAAAAAAGAGATCCAAAGGAAAGAAGTAAATATGTTCATTCTAATGGGGTAGCTGCCAAGCACTTTCTCCCCAGGCAAAGGCATAAGAAGTGGAGATAGAATGAGTTTTTAACCCATTAAAAACTCAGCTCATAAGTCAGGCAGGAAAGGGTTGAACACCAGGGCAGTGCTTAAAAGCAACAGAGAAAAGGGTGATGTGGGAAGAGCAGGAAAGAAACCCGGATTTTGACTGAGCATTGACCACTTAGTCATAGGCCCCCCTGAGCAGCTGGCACGTGGCACAGATCCTTCAGATCATTCTAGATCCCTGCGCTTTTCATACTATACACTGAGAATGGCAAAGAGAGAAAACAGAGCAGAGGTCTCCAGGCAACCTTGAGCCACCCAGCCCCCTCGGGGTGAGAACAAGCCTGCTCTGTTTGTGTTGAGCTCCCAGTTCCTGGCCCCTTGTCAACCTGCTTCTCACCCCTCAACAAGCTGAGTCCAGAAGTCACACGTTTACCCTTCAGAAGGCATATGGTGCTGCTATTGTTTTAAGATGGCTCCTCAGACCTCCAGCCAGTCTCAGAGGGCGCCACCTCCACTCCAACTTCAGTGGGAAGAGGGGGTCCTGTCCTCCTGTTTCGGACGGGGGCCTTGACTCACTGCAACTCCCACCAGCACGCCTGCCTGTCCGATGCCTAGACACTCAGCTTCTCTTAGGTGAGACAGTGACCCCTGCTGCGGCTCCCAGGCCAAGACCTTGACCTTTTCACTAGTCACGGCAGCCCCATGCCCCTCCATCCAGCTGCTGCCCAGCTGCCTGCACAGCCCTGAGTTCCCCCATCACTGCTGCCTGCTCTCCTTCTTGCTGCCCTCTGGGCCCTGGCCACTTCTCCTCAAACCATGCTCCCCTCTGCTCCCACGCTCCTCACACCTTCCCTTGGAAAATGTCCAGCTAGTTACAGTCCCCAGCTGCCCGGTCCCCACTGCCCCTGGCAGAGATACAAAGTGACACCAACTCCCCCCACCAAATCCATCACTGTCAAATCAGACAACCAGTTACCATTGTCATACATGCCACTGGAGCCCTAACTAGTTAACCTAGCTTGACAGTGTGTGGACACCTGTTTGACTGTCACAGTGTTGGGGAGCAGGGGGCAGCCAGGAGGGGGTTCTGATGGCACTGAGACAAGTGAGGTGTGTAGCCCTAGGTTTGGGAGGTCTTGAGGGGAGCAGGGAAGAAGGCGGAGCAAGTTATGAGCCAGATACATGAATCCCAGACCTGCTGAGATCAGGCACTCCAAGCCCATCTCATAAAGCCACTCACTCCGGTGACCCAGCACCCACGAGCCTCAGTCTTCCCCCTGCTGCTTTCTGGGCTCACAGCCTTGCTGGACAACATTAAAACTCCCCTTTCAACCCATCTCTTGAGTGATTCTGGCTGTCTAAAATAGTGTTACTAAATATCAAATCATTAGGAAAAGTGCTTGAAAAAAAGTTAAAAACCAGTCTTTTGAACTTAACCACCATATCTCTGAAGACTAAGTTTCAAACTTTTGTTAAGATACTGTAAAGGAAATAAATCTCCCACGTGAAACGTACCGTCCATGCACCCAGAGGGTAGATGGCATTCTTAAGCCCAGAGATGGGGAGTTTGGAGCAGAGAAGGCTGCATAAACAAATGCTGTTACTTTCCCTAACTTAGATCAAGGCCATTTAGAATTCCTTCCTCACTAACTGAAGCTCCCAAACCCAAGTTTTCTTTTTCTTGTGAATTCCTCACATATTTATTGTCTCTGTCTAAAATGCATAAAAACTGCCTGCTTTGGTCATTTCCCTGGGTCTCACTTTTATTACTGGGTCTCTATACCTACGTAACTAAACTTCAATTTTTCTCTCCTGTTAATGTCTTTGATTCCTGGACCAGCAGGAAGAAGCGTGAAGGGCAGAGGAAAACCCTTCCCCCCAACAGTACTTACAGCTGGAAAACTGGAACCATAAGAAGAATCTGTGATAAAGAAGATTTCAGAGATATTAGCTCAACAGACAATCAGAAAGCATTTGCTGAGGTCCTATTTTAGATCTAAAACCAAATGAACCATCACAGAGTCCCAGCCCAAGGGATGATTACGCCCAAATTGAAGAATGACTCGGAAGGGAACAGTCACTTTTGATTTCCAGGACACACTGATAATAAATAAACTGGAAAATGGTTAATTGGTTAACCAAATTTCAAAAATTTGCCAGGAAGTATGTATTATTTTATCAATCTCTAATTCCACACACCTTGCGAGCATTCAGGACAGGACAGACTGAGTAAAGGGGAAAAAAAGATAAAAGTTGAGGAGGGAGAGAAGAGTGAAATTATGATTTTCCAGGTTATATTTAGAATCACATTTGTGACGTAACAGGAAATACATATATTGGTCTCTGCCCCAGGTCCCTAACACAGAGCTCCTGAAACCCTCATAACCTCCTGAGCGGTGAGGATGATAGGAGCTTCTCTGGTTATAATATTTGGTCTTAGTCCCTGGACCTGACCAAAAAGCTTCTAGGACTTCTGGACTCTCTAGAATGATCCCATGTCTTTTGTATGCTAATGATATGACTAGATAGCTTGTGGGTGGGGGGCTTGTTCCCAGAAAGACCCAGGTGGGGTTAGAGAGTAAACTTCTACCTCCCTACCCCTGACTGCCAGCGAGGGGCAGGAGGCAGTGACTAATCACCCAGGGACAATGACTTAATCAACCATACCTACTGAATGGACCCTTCCTAAAAACCCTAGGTGCGTGGGTTCATAAAGCTTCTGGCTGGTGAATAGTCCACAGGCCGGGAGGTGACAGACCCTAACTGCTTGGGGACAGACACTCCTGTGCTCAGGATCCTTCTGGTCCTAGCCCTGTAAACCTCTCCCTTTAGCTCTTCATCTGCATCCTCCATATATCCATTATGATTAACCAATAAGCAAGGTGTTTACTTGAATTCTGTGAGTCATAGCAGAATCCGAGGACAGGGGTCATAGGAACTGATTTACAGCCACGTTGGACAGAAGTGTGGGTAACCCAGGGACACTGCATGGAGTCTGAAGTGGGGGCAGTGGTGGGGCTGGGCCCTCCATCTGTGGGGTCTGTGCTCATTCTGAGTGGTCAGCATGACAACTGATTAAATGGTAGGATACCCGGCTGGTGTCCACAGAGGACTGCAAAACTTCTTGGTGTGGAAAAGCCACATATTTGGTGTCAGAAGTGCTGTGACTGGAGGAACAGGTCTTCTTTTACACATATCCCATGGGAGAGGGCTCAGATCATAGCAAATTGAAAAAAAGTGCAGATGGAGAGCTCATCTCAAAAAAAAACAAAAAATCAATTATTTCTTTGTATAACAGAATGCTGAACACCTCACTTGAAAAACAAATTTCATAGATGTAGAATGATCCCCAAAGAGCCCCTAACAGGAAATCCATCATTTGGTATCTGAAGCTATTCTGGTCTCTCATTGGTGCATTTGGGTCCCTGGAGAAATCTGCAAAGACACGTTTTGTCTTAGAAGTAACACATCATGTCACCTCCTCTGGGGAGTCTATTCTCCATTTTTCTACCAAACTCTTCATTCCATTTTCTTGTATATGCTTCATGAAGAGAAAGAGGTTATATGAAAAGACAAATTTGAGATGGGTACCTAGAGTTGCCAAATATAACAATTAAAAACACAGGATGTCCAGTTACATTGGAATTTCAAATAAACAACAAATCATTTTTACTGTAAGTATATAATTTTTAATATAAGTACATACTGATACTAAGAAATTATTTGCTGTTTACGTGGAATTCAAATTTTACTGGATGTCCTGCATTTTATCTGGCAGCTGAGGTTAGAACAGTGTTGGAGGGGGGCCAGGATTACTGGACCCCAGTTGATCAATAAAGTTCACACTCAGCAAAGTGTGAAGTTAGAGGCCCCTTGCCAAGGTCCAAGCTTCTCCATCAGCAAGCCCATCTTTTAGTGAGCTATATATATATTCAGTCTCACTTTCTCTATTGTTAATTTATAAATAAGGGTTGAAGCCTCTTAGAATGTGGACATGAAAGCAAACTAATCAATCAAAGACCATAATTAAAAGTTTGCTAACACGGAGAGATCAATCCAAGCCAACCAGAGGTGGGGAAAGGAATCAGGAGTGAGTGAGTGAGTGAGTGAGTGAGTGAGTGAGTGAGTGAGTGAGAGAGTGTGTGTGTGTGTGCGCGCGCGTGCGCCAGCCAAAAAGGAAAAGAGAAGGCAGTGTGGAGAGGGCTGCAGAGATAAGCAGGCGCTGCAACGCCTTGATGACTACCCTGTTCAAGGTGTCCCCACCTCCCAGGGAGGCACAAGCATCCAGCCCACACTCCACAGCCCGTGTGGGTGCTGAGCCTGCTCCATGGAGGGGCTTTTTTCTAAGACTATAAGGACAGCCTGCTGGATGAGGGGGACTCACATGTGGACAGCACATAAAGACACAGCACATAAAGACCCAGCCCAGGCCTGGGTCCACGGAGGGCAGTGATGGCCAGGACAGCTTTAGTTACCTGGAGTCTTGGATCTTTTTACCCAAAGATGCTGTAAGTTTTTTGCCTTGTCCATCATTTCATAAATTTCCTCGGCAAGGTCCTGTATCTCTTTCAGGAAGACCAGGTCGTCCACCTGCCCATGGTCACCAGCTGCAGCTTGGAACCTAGATGAACTTTAAATGAATGGAATAAATACCCAGAGTAGAACTCTCCACAGGCACATTTCCTCCACATTTTTCAAGTTGTCATGCCCAAGGCCAAAGCAATTTCAGTTCAACTTGCCCCGTTTACACTTCCAACTGCTCTTAGGAGCTCATTTACTTGACCCTCATTCAAAATGGAAATTATCCTTTTTAAAAATCTTTGCTTTAAAAGGAGAGAGTTGTTCTCAATCACTTTACTATCTGTGATGCTCAGCCGTTTTATATGTTTAGAGTCATTTTGTTTTTCCTTCATCTGGCGCCTATCAGGCGGCCTGTGCTATGGAAGGCGCCAGGGGCAGTACCTCAGTGAACAAGGGCCGCCCTGCATACAGAGCACATGGGGTGGAAGTGGACAGACACACTGCAGAGCTGAGGGCTGAGGTAAATCCTAGCAGATAACCACCCTGGCCATGAGCTGGGGAATGTTTTCTCTTGTTTACTGGGACCCTCCTCTGCAGTCTTTACAGGTTAAAACCTGAAAAATGGAATGGTCCAGCCAGGGAATGGCCAGAGAGGTGCTGGGGGCAGGGCCCTGCTGCCAGAGGAGCGTGTGCAAAGGCCTGGGGACTGCAGGTGGCTAAGGGCCAGGGACGAGGGAGAAAGAGGGAGGAGACAGAAACAGAGAGAGGAAGGTGTGCAGTGTGAGAAATGGGGCCACACGCTCAGCTGTGGGAGGGAGTCCGCCTGGGCAGTGGGGAGCTAGGACGTTTTCCCAGGAACCACATGGTCTGATTGCCATTTAGAGTCCTCAGCTGCAAGGTGGAGGCAGGCTTCAGAAAGCCAGGATGGAAACCAGATAACAGCTTAAACGGCTTTGGTGGAAGAGGGAAGTGGACAGAGAGGACCTTTCATAACTTAATGCATGCTATGTTACCCGTGCCTTTTATTTATGTGCTTCTGAGGCTCTGAAAGCTGAGGCCTTGCTGACTCTGAGCCTGGAGGGCTGACCCTCCCAGGAGAGGGTACTCACCCACTGGGCACTTCATGTCTGCAGGTGTTGCACACCTGCCCAGGACAAGTCACGAGCACCTAGAAGATGGGCTTCCCGGAGAGGGAATCCTGGAGGACTTCCAGGTAGTGGTGGAAAGTGCACCACCTCCTCATAAGAGGACAGCTGTGAATGGTGGAGATGGAGCATCCCTGACACCCAAGCCTGGGATGCGCACCTGACACAAGGAGAAAATCAGAGCACCTGCACCTGGGGCCTGCAGTCAGGAGGGCCTGGAGGGTCCCAGCCTTTGCCTCATTTCTCACTGTCTTCTTTATGTGTACCACAGTATCCCTTTGTCACATTTGTTAAAAATATATCCTCAGGGTGTTTATTGGTCTTTAATTTTATTTCAGCTGTGAGTAGTTTTCCTGCTAGAGACACTAATAGATGTAAAATGTGTTAACAAAAATGTTATCAGAGCAGTGCTCTAAAGGGGAAAACTTCCAGGAAGCCATAAACATCTGCTACAGAGAACAGCTCAAGGCGCGAGAGCAGGTGCTGTGAGAGGATTTCCTTTCTTCTTTAAAAACAGGGCCCCTGCAAGTAGATTCCTGTGGGCTGGTTGGAGCTGCGTGTGCCGACAGAGCCCTGAGGGATCTTGGTCCAAACCCCAGTCTAGCGGCCCAGGAATGTCGACCCACACCGTCTACCGGCCCTGCCTGATACACACGTCTGTGTACCAATCTCGTGGCGTGGGAAATGCACACTATGCAATTCCAGTTGGAAAACGATGATAAGGTTCCTACATGTACCATGTTATCGGGCGAAAAGAGGGTTTTTTTCCCCAGTAAACAAGGGAAAACATTCCCAGGAACTTTGAAATCAGCATCATCCACCCAGTCCACAACTAAGCTCAAATTAGTTGGGAATTGATTTTTGATCACCAAGAAACAACTGATTTAAAATAAAATAGGACTCATTTCACAAATTGCTGGAAACTTGTTAAAGGGACTAGGTGTGCAGTTCCATTTAGCATAGCCAAAAGGGAAAAAAGTAAAACTGGGGGACATTTTCCCGGCTTACAAAGTTACAGAACCTATCAGATTTTTTTTAAATCCCAATTCCTTCATTTTACAAGTCAGAGAATACTGGGAACATGAAGTAACAGTTGTCAAGGGCAAATTTACCGTGAAATAAAAACTAAGTTGGCACCATACCTCCGCAATCTAGAAAGAGGTCAGAGCAGGTTCCACAGACACTGACCAGGGAATAAAACCATCAGTGCCCTCAAGTCACAGTCCACTCAGAGCCAAAGGAATGAGGCCTGAGAAGCCAAGTGACTTTGGTAAAAGCACAGCATGGAGAGGGAAGCCAGGCCAAGGAACGGGCATGGGCTTAGTCACTTTCCATACACGTGACAGAAATCTCACCATTCAGACCGTGGTCTTTAATTTGAATGGGTCAGAATTCCAAAAGCACAAGAAATCAGTTACTGCTTCTGCTGTGGCCTGGTATTAAAGGATGAAAGTGACCCTGGGGAGCTGCAGGCCATGGTACAAGCTCTCCCACCTCGCCCAACGTGGGACAGTCCTGGGAGCAGAACTATCAGATTACAGAGACTGATGTAATTCAAGGCAAGTTTTCCCTGTAATAATGAACTGGTTTTATGTTCTTTTTCTAATTATTATTTCAAAGGTTCCTCAATTTGTTCTTAAGACCAGATTATAAACTATTACTAACATGAGAAATGTTTAGAGTAGAAGCAGCACATTGAAAATCCTGGGTTAAATATGGACATGGTGATGGAGATTCCGAGCCTCAGGGAGTCTGTGTGTAGAGGAGTTTACCTGCTCCCGAATGCAGTTCTTTCTTTGGACTTGGGCAGGGGGGAAACCAAATATTCATATATTTGGTCTTTGATCATGTGACTCTTGATCTTACCAGGTCTGAAATGGAGGGGGACAAGAAAAGGCAGGGAACTGAACTCCTTTCTTAGCCCTCAGACCAGTACTGAACCCCCTCTCAACAGGCCAGGATGCAAGCGGTGCACCAGTGCTCATGCGGGTCCAGCCACAGACCACAGGACGTCAGAAGCCAATGGGGTTCTCCAGGCCCACCCCTCAGACTGCAGATGAGGAGACTAAGACCTGTGAGGGGTCGATGGAATCAAAGTGTTTCTCAAGTCAGAGTCTCCTTAGAATACTGTCTTTAAAACTGGATCATAATGTCCACCTGATAGAGTTTGTGGAGGGTCAGCAGAGAGAATCTACATAAAATCTTAGCAAAGTGTCCAGCACCCAGCTCTCTGTAAATATGAATAAAGGGTTGTAATATTATAGCTAATGCTGGGAAAGGACTCATTGTCTCCATGAGAGCTGCAGGAATGAGCAAGCAAAGTAAAGCAAGAAGATTATTGTTTCTAGTACAGTTTGTGCTAATTTTATTAGTAGTTTACAAGTAAAACAACTTCTTACAGAATTAGAGTTATTTCCTAAGACAACTAGATCCAAAGGCAAAACTAATTCTCCTGGGGCCAGAAAGGAAATATTGGAGATCAGCTGCCTTGTGGTGAGTAAGGCTGGCCAGGGACTGGCCTCTGCCTCATTGTCAACCTCTGATTCAGGGCCCGCGCTCTGGGAGAGCCTTCAAGGGTCAAGTCGCTTTTGAAACCTGTAACAGACCTGTGATGTAGAGAAGAGGCCAAGTTTAGATACTCCCATCTGAGGATAAAAGAAAGAGCAAAAATTCTTTGGGACTTTCCTTAGGTCTATTTAAAAAATAATCCAAACTCCAGAGCAGACACATTGGCCATAAGTACTTGGTGTATTTTGAGATCTCTGTTTCCAACACACTCTCGGTTTCCCCAAATCTTGGGATTTCCAACCCAGCTCTCGAAGTGAAGAGCTTGTGGGCTGTCTGTCTGCAGGGTGAGCTGGAAAAGGGCAGCGGAGACACGGGAACACACTCTTAGTGTGTTGGGTTGGCGGGTGGGGGAAGAAGTCCCCAGGGGTAGGGGGAAGGCCTCCAAGGACACAGCTAGAAAATTCAGTTAATTCAAATTCTAACCATTTCACAATCTCTTCTAAAATACCAGTGGAAAGAAATGGCTTCACCCACATTTGACATCATTTGTTCCAGGTATAAAAGATCTCTGTTTATTGGCCATCATTTTTCACTGAAACAGGACAATTTTCAGCTATTTAAAAACTACCAATAAAATAATTTCTAAAAATTATTATATATTACTATTAAAATGTAAATTAGAATACTACTCAGCCATAAAAAGAATGAACAGCTGGCACACGCATCAAGAGGTTTGGGTCTTAAAGCATCATGCTTAGTGGGAAGACACAAGCCAATCTCATAAGATCACATCCTATATAATTCAATTCATGTAACTTTATTTAAATGTATATAAATGTGTGCAATTATAAATAATGTGATTATACATGATTATATCTGAAAATGTCAAAACTATGGGGACAGAACAGATTTAGAAGTTGCCAGGGACAAGATGGGGATGGTGGGGTAAGCATGGTTCACAAGAACAGCATGAGGGAGTTTCTTTGCACTGACTGAACAGATACAAGATACTGATTGGACACAGTCACAATATACATTGGTTGGGATGGTGGTTACATGAGCCTATGCAAGAGATTAAATTGTATTGCAGTACACACACACACACACACACACACACACACACACACACACAAATGAGTGAATGTAAAAACAGATAAAACAAAATTAGTTCAGTGCTCTACTTGACAATATTATACCAATGTCAATTTCCTGATTTTGATATTGTACTATACTAATATAAGAGGTCACTATTTGAGAAAGCTGGACTCAATATACTATTCACAACTTCTTTGAGTCTATAAATGTTTCAAAATGGAAGTCAAAAAACAAGCGAAGTCAAAAAATAAATGACAAATTCAGGAAAGAACATTTATAACTCATATCACAGACAAAGTGTTTAACTCCCTAATATATAAAGAGTCTAGAAATCAAGAAGAAAAATAATGAACCAAGAGAA